ACCTTCAGTCATCACCTTGTCATCGTCTTCCAAACACTGGTCAGGGCGCTTGACTCACAGTTGGAGGTCACGAGTTAAAAATCTTAGTGAGAATTCGGCTCGGCTCATCGGCATCATCATCATCTCTCGGGAACTTCTGAATATGAGTCGTTCTATTTGCTAAGCTAAACGTGGTTGTGTGAGGACCCTCCCGGCTCCCTCCGTATTAGTGTGGAATTTTCACCATCATCTCTGCTGCAAATGGAGATCAGCGACGACGCCGATCCTCTTTTGAATCGAGACTGAATTTGAGCCGTTTCTGTCCTGACAGTTTATGTGATGTCTTAAAGTGTCTCGAATTGATCATTGGATAACTCGCATGTGTTATAGTTTCATGCGGGTCCAGCCTTGAGAGATCACTTTTGGTTTGAACCTATGTTTCATCCGGTTGAACACTTCAGTGAGGGGTGTGTGTTTCATTGGGACACGTTGAAGCTAATTTGTCACGTATTCTTCCAAACCTTACAAGTCGCTTACCCCCGTCCTGCAATGCAGCTTGAAGCATCCTCCACATACAAATGGACAGGAGGTGCTTTGTCAGTTGCTCGTTTTACTAAATGGCAGGAGAGGGTCATTCATTTTTGAAATCTCATAAGATAGGGCAAGGAAGCGTTGTGGGTGTATTCATGAAGTAGAGATTGTGATGGATGGGACACACGTGTGCAGGCTGGATGTGGCCAGGTGTACATTACGAGGTCGCGTTTATTTGCACAAACAACCACAACATCTTGCTGAGCTTGTCAAAGACAACGGACCACCCCGCCAACTCTGGTCACCCTCGCATCGGCTTGGAGCCACCCACCGAACATCGGCGGTCATATGGCATCGCGTGCTTTTAGCTGTGCCTCTGCAACTGTCAAGAACACTCTTCCTTCCTGACATTCGAAGCCCACTGGAACTGTGCACTTTCAAATCTAAATTGATTTGAAAGTGCAAACAAATCACTCTAACACATACACAAATAAAACAAAACCATCCGCATCCTACCAGGCAAAGCCCACTGAAGTCTTAACTTATTTTTTTAGGAGTGACCTAATCATGCTAACGATCCTGGCAGGTTGTGTGTATGTTGTTGAACTTCTGTCACACCGTACGTAGCTAGCTGTGCTAATCGGAGGTGTGGGCGAAGAACAACAAACTAAACACAAAACACAGTCTTAATGAAATGAGTATTCAATTTAAAAGTGCATAGCTCCCATGGCTTCCTAATATCGGAAGGAAGAGCGTTCCAGACGGCCGCAGAAGCGCATCTGAAACCGCACGATGCGGTGACCGTCTTTGTTCGGTGGCTAGCCAAAAGCCGCTGCGAGGATGACCGGAGTTGTTTTGGAACAGAGTGTAACAGCACAGTGGTGACCTATTTATATTTTTCGTGACCTTAAAGCGCTTCTGAAAATATGCACCGAGTTTTTATTTTCAGTACCATCTCAAAAAGTAGAAAAATCTTTATCTTTGGCCAAAATTCTAAATACCAGCGTGCACGACAGAGCGATAGTTCTGCCTGTGTGCGTGCTTGTGTGTGCGTGCGTGCACGTGCACGATCGAGGAACACCCAGTGTTGTTATGGTTACTACAAAGACAAATATCCCTCGTGTAGCCTTAACAGACTGTTGGGGCAAGTGCTGTTAGCGAGCAGCACCTATGAAGGCCGGCTATGTTTACCGCACCAGGTACTCATTTGAGGCTGAGCCGACCTAGGGGGAGGCCCAGGACCGATCAGATATTCGTCACTGCTGTTGGCCGTGAGCCAGTCAAGCTTGAGTCGTCGGGTGCTTAGCGCAACACGCTGACCGCTGCCCACACATCGTCACAGTTATTAGGTCTGAGACAAGGGTGGAGATCCTGCAGCCCACGAGTCCAGACAAGGCCTGTGACCTCGTTTCATATGGCCCACAGCTACACGAGGCCTACGACTTGGACACAGCCCACGAACGATATTTATCCATCTCCACAAGCATCTTAGCCGTACTAATCGGGTACTAGAGGAGATTTTTTTTTTCACCTGGCGATACTAACTGTTGATATGACGCTGAATGTCAAGATTGTATATTCGAAGGACCATGCGGCTGATTCATGTACGAACAACACTTTAATTTCCAATGTATAGTTCCCAGATATGTGAAGGAGGCATCTTGTCCACTTCTTTGTTTCACCGCTAATTCTTAGCACGCTCGTTCACCTGCTGTCTCGCCTGGTATGCAGGAGGACATGGGTTCGATCCCGACCCTGATGCCTGTATATTTGTAGTTTGCGTGTCTCTCTCCGCGTAGATTTTTCTCTGGATCCTCCGTTTTTTCCCTGCACATTTATAATCAGCATCACGCATTTTGAGTATTTGGCTGCGATAAAATTTCGACGTGATAAGCCACTTAGTTTATCTTTAATTTGTGGCCAGGTCGCTTCTTAAAAAGAGCTATATAGCTCAGTGGGCCTTACCCGGTAAAATAAAAAAAAACAGTTTAAATAGTTTTTTAGATTAAAGTCTCCGAAGTGTGAGAACTGTTGGGGTTGCACCACGATAGGCATTCGAAATTCCTGTCCCACCCTCGGCGAGGACAAGCTCTCCTCCCATCGCTGTGCGAGATGCTGCAGTCGTCAAGCGGTCGACTCAATGGCTTCCTTGCCTCGGCGCCCCTACTGACTGTACACAACCTCTCCGTTAGCACAAGTGGACGGAGAGGGCCGGTGTGCGACGGTACAACAATAACGGCGCTTGCCAGCACCATTTAACCCTAAAGCAACACGGGTATTTACATGGGCTGCAGGATGAATACATTCCATAGCGGTAATTAAAATTTCCATTTGGACCACTGGTTAGCATATAAGCACTCGGTTTTCCCCTCTGCCTGCCTGCTCGCCTGCTCACTTCTGCGTCTTGTCGGCCGTGTGTCCGTGAGTCTGCCGTCGGGCTGAGGGGCACAAGGGACGTTGGACTGTGTATTGACTAGATGCTTTCATCCGGAACAATTACATCTCTCAATGCACTCTCAGTTAGAAATTGTCCAGTGGCAAATTATTTGGTGATACTGCGTAGGCAGTGGTGCGTAAGCATAGAGAACAGCAACAATAATAAAAACACAACACGATTGCCAATAACACTGTGGCCTTAAAACTACAGTATTATTGGCGAGGTTTGGGGCAACGGCCCTTCCTCACAGCACAGAGAGGCCAGAGAGGTGGGTTAGCAAAGGGCTGTGAGCATTAGCCCAGCAGCCAGCCATCACTTGGGGCCCTCTGCAGCCATGGCTGAATAGTGGATCTGGTGTTGCCAGATCTAGAGCAGAAAAAAGAAGACAATGGTTGTCTCTGTAGAGAGGCTTGTCCTAGCCATAGGAACGTGGAATGTCCATATTCCGAGGGTGGGATCCAGTATATCCATAGAACCACTGTTGGATAGAACAACAGTGGTTGGCACGATTAGCATGGTTGGCTACATACGGTGGGAAAGAAGTTCAACCTACACACGTACAAGTTGTCTGCCTGCTAAGTGGTACTAATTTTATCGACCTGGGAGGGTTGATGATGTCTTGTCTTGATCTCTGTCCAGGATTTGAACTTATAACATACGTGTGCCTCTGAATGTCAAGCAGGACAAGGTGATGACCACACACATTGCGGGCGGGGGGTAATTATAATTCTGCTTGTTCTTGTAAATGATTGAAGGGTGGCCATGAGCCTCGTTATTGAATTTGAAGTGGAATTCTCTGTTTTCTAGAGAGCCTTAATGTCCATTGTAAGAGTAAAGTGCAGTGTCCTAATGATTAACCATGTTCTCACGAAGACATTCTCCCGTCCCTGTGCGTACACACGTGTATTATGCTGCGGTTACAAGAATAATTCTGCACTCATGATAATAAACAGCTGTAATATTCACTTATAATCCAGACAATTGTAAGCTGGTCAAAGCGCCCAACAAACACCAGTCGGCAATTTACTCGGCACATTATTGTTTTCGGGTCAACAAAATGCGTACCGCTTTGGTGGGAAGTCAACGGTCTACGTTGCATAGAGAGATTGCCCCATCCTCCCAACCGCCATAGGGAATGTGGAATTTCCAGCACTTTTTCTCATCCGGCAAAATCAAGACTACACCACCACACAAGCTTGTGAGAAAACACGTTGACAGTTGGACTGTTTATGAAACGGAACAATAGGAGTACATTTCACGATGTTCGGGAAACGTGGGTCATATTAGCGGTATGTTATCAACCGCATGGGTAAACAGCTATCGCTGCCTTATGATTCATTGCCTCTTCCGGAAAGGCTCGCTAAGACTTTTGTTATGAGGCTTTTCCTTGCGAAATGGTGATCCTGCTCTTACTGTGTGATTTTGATTTTAAAAAATGTACATTTGGAAAAGAAACTGCAGTGTCTGGAGAACTCACATCAATCTGCTGCTGGATGAAGGCTTCCCCAAGCTGCCATTGCCTCTGACAGTCCTCACCAGCCTGCGATGTAGCAATTCATCTACCACCTGCACTGAGGGCGCCACGGTGGCAAGATGTTAACTACTTTGCCTGGTATACAGGAGGTCTTGGGTTCGATCGCGACCCATCGCCTGTATATTTGGAGTGTGCATGTCTCTCTCTCTGTGGTCGTGTGGCTTTTTCTCCGGGTCCTACGGTTTTTCCCTCCACATTTATAAAACGTGCATTTAAGGGACTTAGCTGCTCGAAATGTGCACTTGATAAGCCACTTCGCTGAGCTATTATTTGCGTCCAAGTCGCTTCTGAAAAAGAGCTATATAGGTCATTGGGCCTTACCTAGTAAAATAAATTAAAAAAATGTTCTGTTTTTATAGAGCTGATTTTGTCGTCTCATCTCCACGGTGAGCATCCTGATGGAAGCATTCCCTTCTTTGGCTGCCACTCTGACACCAGTCTTGACCACCAGCCCACCTGCAAGTGTTGCCTAACCGTTGCCTCCCCAATTTTAACCTGTGACCTTCCGGCTGACCGCAGGGCATCCTCGGCAGAGCGCCGGCGCGCAGTGACGGTGGTGACGGCGACATCGACGGGGGGCGGACGTGACGAGAGCACAGAGAGACGTCCAGCCACAGGTGAAGGAGCTGCTGCTGCTGCTGCTCATGATGAGCGCTCACCAGGATACAGGAGGGGGGGGGACAGAGGCAAAGATCCCCCATAGAGCCTACACAGGTCACTTAGGCAAGTGCTGTTAGCTGGCATCGATTGAAGGCCGCCATGGCACACGAGGGGGTGGGTGGCCAACACTACGCAGTCACCTTTGTCTCTCCAATAGTGATGTTTACGACCCATACCAAGTACTCATTTAAGGCGGAGTTGACCTAAGGGAAGCCCGACAACAGTTAATATATTCACCACTGTTATTAGTCACGAGTGGAATCGAGGGTCGCCGGGTTCATGGCACGGTGAGCGATCTGCTACACTACCATACGGGTGTGTACAGGCACCATGACAAAGATCCCCCGTATAGCCTTAACAGACTGTAGGGGCAAGTGCTGTTAGCGAGCACCCATGAAGACCGGCATGGCACACGAAGGGGTGGCCAACACCACGCCCCGGCCGCCTTTGTCTCCCCAGTGGCGATGTTTACACACCGCACCAGTTACTCATTTGAGGCTGAGTCGACCTAGGGGAGGCCCAGGACCGGTTCAGATAATCGTCACCGCTGTTGGCCGTGAGCGGGAACCGAACTCGGGTCGCCGGTTTCGTAGCGCAGCGTAGCGCTAACTGCTGCGCCACCGTTCCCGGGTGGGTACAGACACACGTACATATAACACTGCCAAGCCTATGACCAAATCACCCGGTGCTCCCGCCTCTTCTGAGACATCAGGCCAGCGTGGAAGCCAACGTACCAACGAGATGGCTTCTCTGGTGCTCCCTCTGGTTCAGGCCTTTTTGGCAGCAGCGGTTGCTAAGCCGCACCTTGAGCCATATCTCGTGATCTTTCTACGCAATGTTGTTGTTGATCTCCGACAATATCGATATTAGTCATCCGTAACCACATCTGTACGGGTGCACCCTGGGCTTGGATTCTCACGAGAGTCATCGTTTTCCCATGAAGAGGGGCGATTTTTTTTTCCCGAAAGCCTTTGGGGAGGCTGAGCTAGGTGCTGCTGCTGGTGGTGAGAGTGGTGGTGAGAGCGGTGATGGTGATGAGGGTGCTTGTAGAGGTCAGGGTTCAGGGTTAATGTTTCTCCCGTATGGGGGCTTACATTGTTTTGAAAGGAGCGCTGGGGAATTTGTACAAACGCTTTTTACAAATGCTGATAAGACCTCCCCCAGGCAGAAGGTGCTGACACCACTTCACTGCTCAGCCCGTGAATGCGTGAGAGTGTGTGTGTGTGTTGGCCACCCACCCCCTCGTGTGCCGTGCCGGCCTTCATAGGTGCTCGCTAGCAGCGCTTGCCCCAACAGTCTATTAAGGCTACACGGGGGATCTTTGTCTTTATCATCTATGGTGGGGAGCGGTCGTGTAGCGGTTAGCGCGCTCCGCTACGCTACGACCCTGGCGACCCGAGTTCGATTCCCGTCCACGGCCAATAAGAGTGGCGAATATTTCAACTGATCCCGGGCCATCCCCTTTTGTCAACTCAGCCATAAATGAGTACCTGGTACAGTGTGTAACTATCAGTATTGGGGAGACCAAGGTGGCCGGGCGTGGTGCTGGCCACCCTCCTCTTCTTGGCCCATGCCACCTCTCATCAGTGCTAGCTAACAGCACTTGCCCCAAGAGTCTGTTAGAATATATATTAGAACGGGGACCTTTGTCTCTGTGTTATACGCACCGGTACGGGGACCCTCCCTAGGTTGACTGAACCTTAAATGAGCGCTTGGTGCAGTATGCAATCATCAGCACTGGGGAGACAAAGGCAGCCGTCCACGGTTCTGGAAAACATATCACGTGATTAAAGATGGCGGTACCCTTCACCAACCGTACAGGAGAAGAGCAGTGGAGCCCTTATGAATATTATTTCCTCTACCAAATTCAATGCACAGCTTCTCCCGAAACCGTACTGACCTCAGATACGCAAATTACTGCATTGGAATTATTGAAACACCCTCGTAGAATGTCAGCTAATTGAGGCAAGCCAAAGCCCTCGAGTATTTTTTGCCAGTCAGTGTCCTCCAATCCACCGCTCACACTCGTCGCTTTTTACTAGCGGCTCCACGTGTATGCACATCCTCGCGCTGCCTCTCGCGTTGCCCAGATTCGTTGACGTTTTCCTTTGCGGGTGACCGTGTTCGTGACATGTTGTGTAGGGCGCCATGGTGGTGAGATGTTAACTACCTCGCCTGGTATGCAGGAGGTCGTCGGTTCGATCCCGGCCCCGACGCCTGCTGTATATTTGAAGTTCGCATGTCTCTCTCCTCATGGTCACGTATTTTTCCGGGTCCTCCGGTTTTTCCCTTCACATTTAAAATCAATATGCGTTTAAGAGTATTTGGCTGATATCAATTTCCACATGATAATAAGCCACTTTGTTAAGCGAGCAGTTGTGGCCAGATCACTTCTAACTAAAAGCGCTGCATAGCTCAGTGGGCCTGACCTGGTACAATTAAAAGAGTTTGTAGTTTAGTGTGTTGCAGTAAGGCACCGCTCAGATGTTTCTGCTCCCACACAGCGATTGTCTCCTCTCTGGCCAGCGTAATTGTATGTATGTTGAACTTCTTTTGCACCATACGTAGCTTATCGTGCTAATCGGAGGTGCAGGGGAAGGACAACAAACTAAACGCAAAAAGCAGTTCTAAAGAAATGGGTTATCAATCGAGATTTAAAAGTGCATTGCTACCATGGCATCCTAATATCGGAAGGAAGAGCGTTCCAGACGGCCGCAGAAGCGCATCTGAAAGCGCGCGATTCCGTGACCGTCTTTGTTGTATGGCCAGCCAAAAGCCGCTGCTGGTGCGAGGATGAATGGAATCCGTGTGATGGTTGATGCTCCTAGTTCACTTTCCCTGCCTGGTCGCCCTGCCCAGTATAGCAAATTGCGTCACTGGGAGAGGGCAGGGGGGTACACACTGCTCTCTCCAAGCACGATAACATGATAGCACGATAAGATAATACCGCTCTCGGAGGAGGAGGAGGAGGAGGGAGGCATGTGTGTCTAGAAATACCTCTGTATTTTGACTGCAGAATCCCGCTCTGTGGTAAGTCAACAGTGGTCGGCGGTGAGAATGTGGAATTTCCACCGCTCGCTCAGGGCCCGTCAGCGGAGATGTGCACCGGCATCGTTTGTGGGAAATTTTGAGTCTTGATTGTTTGTGTTAATTATCTGCGCTAATTATCTTCGTACCAAGCAGTAGCAGCCATTGAACGATGCATCGATCGGATTTCGCATGTAAGAATCAAGTGTTTACAATTCATGTACATTATATGCTGATGTTATATTTACCCTATTGGAGTGAACAAAACTGTAAATGAGTCCGTTTTTTTGTTATTTAAGATTTCAAAACAACGGTAAAGATGAGACGGAGAACTGATTCAGTTGTGCGAATCCTTACACCTCTATACACCAAGCAGCCCCTCGAATAGGGTTTACCGTTAAATTTCGATTTAAAGCTTTCGTGACTGCAAGGATTCATCTTCTTTGGTTCTTTCGGTAAAGTCACGTAGAATGAGAATAAAATAATAAATTAATAAAATAAAATAACACAGTAAAATTCTCACGACGTTTCTCTGTCGTCCCGACAGGCCTGTTCCTTTCACCTGAAGAAGGCCACTTGTGTTGTGGCCGAAACGTCGTGAGAATTTTATTGTGTTATTTTATTTTATTAATTTATTATTTTATTCTCATTCTACGTGACTTTACCGAAAAGAACCAAAGAAGAGGAAGAAGGGTTTACCGTTGTTTGTTGTTCTCCCACGTGTGATAGAGACGCAGACGAATTCTCACCTGGTGAGGCAATGAGAAACGATGGAGTGGGTTCATGACAGATCGTGTCGAACGACCGCCCGCGCCCTTGAGTTAATTTTTGTTGTCAAACTGTGGCCAGCCGCGCGTGGAGAGTCTGGGTCCCCACCATAGGCATGTGGAATTTCAATTACCAGCTGAGTATTTTAAGTGGAAGGCGATAATTGCCAGCCGATTGCTCTCTGGAGCGAGCGGGTAAGATACGTTTACTCCGCCAATCGTGAAGTACCCTCCCCGTCACCTTTAAAGGAAATGTTTTGGCTGTCACAGTCGCTGAGCTCAAGGGTATGACTCACTCATTAGGCGGCACCGCGCCCCTGACTCTGACTCCCTCCTCACACTCTCGCCCATTGTCACACACCCACTAACCCCATACTCACACTCACACACCCACTAACCCACTAACCAGCATACTCACACTCGCACACCCACTAACCCCATACTCACACTCGCACACCCACTAACCCCATACTCACACTCGCACACCCACTAACCCCATACTCACACTCGCACACCCACTAACCAGCACACTCATCCATACTCACACTCACATACCCACTAACCCACTAACCAGCACACTCTCACTCACACACCCACTAACCCCATACTCACACTCGCACACCCACTAACCCCATACTCGCACACCCACTAACCCACTAACCAGCACACTCATCCATACTCACACTCACACACCCACTAACCCACTAACCAGCACACTCTCACTCACACACCCACTAACCCCATACTCACACTCGCACACCCACTAACCCCATACTCACACTCGCACACCCACTAACCCACTAACCAGCACACTCATCCATACTCACACTCACACACCCACTAACCCACTAACCAGCACACTCTCACTCACACACCCACTAACCCCATACTCACACTCGCACACCCACTAACCCCATACTCACACTCGCACACCCACTAACCCACTAACCAGCACACTCATCCATACTCACACTCACACACCCACTAACCCACTAACCAGCACACTCTCACTCACACACCCACTAACCCCATACTCACACTCGCACACCCACTAACCCCATACTCACACTCGCACACCCACTAACCCCATACTCACACTCGCACACCCACTAACCCACTAACCAGCACACTCATCCATACTCACACTCACACACCCACTAACCCACTAACCAGCTCACTCACACACCCACTAACCCCACAGTCTCACTCGTACACCCACTAACCAGCACACTCTCACTCACACTCACACGCCCACTAACCCACTAACCAGCACACTCACCCATACTCACACGCCCACTAACCCACTTACCAGCACTCTCTCTCGCATGCCCACTAACCCACTTACCTACTGACCAACACACACAAAAGACAAAGATCCCCCATCTAGCTTAACAGAATGTTGGGGCAAGTGCTGTTCGCGAGCACCTATGAAGGCCGGTATGGCACACCAGGGGGTGGCTGGCCAGCATCACGCCCGACTGTCTTTGTCTCCCTAGTGTTTGATGTTTACACACCGCATCAGGTACTCAATTGAAGCTGAGTCGACCTAGGGGAGACCCAGGACCGGATCAGATAATCGTCACTGGTGTTGGCCGTGAACAGGAATCGAACCCGGCAAAGCCGGCTCGCTGGGTTCATAGCGCAGCGCGCTAACCACTAACACTACCGCTACCAACACACACAAACCAATACCCTCACTCATACACCCAATAACCAGAACACTCACACATACTCTCACTCACCCACTAACCAACACACTCACTCACTAACCAACACACTCACCCATACTCACACACAACCACAAACGCAGTCACCAGCACACTCATCCATACCCTTGTACACACGAACAAAAATACTAAAGATCCCCCGTATAGCCTTAACAGACTGTTGTGGCAAGTGCTGTTCGCCGAGCCCACTCATGTTCACACTCATCAACACATCCACTCACCCACATACTCATCATCCACACTGTCTCATCATCCACACTGTCTCATCATCCACACTGTCTCATCATCCACACTATCTCATCATCCACACTGTCTCATCATCCACACTGTCTCCCCCACAGGCTCTTGACAGCGGGCCCTGGCGACGCAGAGGAGGGAGATGAGTCACACTTCCGATTGGACATCACACAGAGGGGTTGAGCAGTGAGGGGGCGTGAGAAGCCTGGAGGAGCCTTGCTGGAGGGGGGAGGGTGGTGGCTCTGCGACCTGCAGATGGAATTGAGTGGGTTGGATGGGAATGTCTGTGTGTGAAAGTGGACACATGAGTGTGCTGAGCTAATTGATAACCTCAGTGATCGCGTGCGTGTGTGTGTGTTGTGTGTGGTGGGTGTGTGGCGGGTGTGTGTGTGGTGTGTGTGGTGTGTGTGTTGTGTGTGAATGGGAAGCGATAGCCGTTGTGTTCAGCGAGCTGCGCTGTGAACCCAGCGGCCAGAGTTCGATTCCCGCTCACGGCCAACACCAGTGAAGATTATCTGAACCGGTCCTGGGTTTCCCCGAGGTTGGCCTCAAATAAGTACTTGGTGCCGAGCCTAAACATCTGGGGAGACAAAGGCAGCCTGCTGGCCACCCACCTTCGTGTATGCTGTGTCGGCCTTCATAGGTGCTCGCTAACAGCACTTGCCCCATCAGTCTATTAGAGACTATATGGAGGAGGACCTTGGTGTGTGGCTGTGTGTGTATCAACTGAGCACTCTCATGTCCTCTGCTCAAACACAGCTGGGGAGCGGTGATTCAGTGGTTCGTACACCCAATTTATTGTACTCTTGTATCACTTTCGATTTACAAGGCAATGATTTCGACGACACATTATATATGTGGTCAAATGTGTTCCTTCAATTGGCAGTCTACACCGCTAAAAGCAGTGGATCTTCTCAACCTGGGGTGCGCGAGATGCCCTTTCTGGGGGTGCGAGACGTGCCAGATTTTTTTAGTAGGTAAATCATAGAAACACACTTAAGTACAACTACTTTGTTTAATCAAACCAATGTATTTATTAACATATATTTTGTTAACGATTGTGAACCAAAGGGGGGGGGGGGGGGGGTACAAGGCTGAAGTCAAAGTGAAGAACCACTGGCTCATAGCAATATGTGTTGGCAAGTATATGGTGTGCTCCAAATCGGGCAGCCGTGTGATGTCATCCATCCGGCGATGGATGACATCACAGACGCGTGTGTTGGGTTCTGGGCTTGGCTTCCCTCTGTGTAGGTTGACTCGGCCGTGATTAAGCGTCTGTCTCAAGCCGGTGGCATTAAACACCACAGCCACCCTCCTCCCGTGTGTCAGTGGCGTCCTCAATTGGGCGATCGCGTCAGTCATTTCAGGTTCTAAATTGTCGCTCAGCGTTATTTTTTTTGTGTTTGCGTGCGCGTGTGTGTACATATATCCTCGTGTTTACACCCCTTTAATTTTCTGGCAATTCGATTGATTCAGAGCAGGTCGTGGTGCCAATATATACTACAGCGGTGCTGCTGCCGCATTTTCTAGGCTGCCGGGGCCCGAACCAAAGCTTTCGCTTTAATTCCTCTGCAGTATGATACGAATTACTCTCCGATACAAATCGCTTTGTTTAAATTGCATTAATAACGTATGCACAAGTTTACGCTCTGGGACACGTTCATCTGTATTAGATCTCGAGAACCCAGTAGTGGAAATTCCACATTGCTATGGTGGGGACCAATCTCCCCTTAATGTAATTTAATGAACGACTGTTTTACTATTTTGAGAATCGGGGTCTTGTTCAAGAGCGTGTATATTTTTTTATTGCCGGATCGCGTACACACGAGTGACATTTGTAATCGTGTCCATCGAACTGTGTCCATTGAGTCGCGAGCGGGCTGATGGGCAAAAATAAAGAAATAGCGGCCGGGATTCTACGAAGCGTCGTGTTTGTTCAAATTGTATCATCGTCCGACGTGACACGGATTTAAAGCGTCGTGAAATACATCGACTGCAAACGTAAAATAAGTAACATTTTTAAAAAACTTTTTTTGAAACACGCTTTAATGAAATGTACCGTACTAGTAATGGCAGAACTCCACAACTCCAGTAAGTGGCCCGAAGTTTGACACAACGTAATTGGCCGTGGTGATTTACAGCCAGCGTGAGTTGAGCGTGGACAATTAGCCCCAAGCCGAAACATAACATATAAAAAATAATGTTAAAAATATATGTTTTAATGATAGAATAAAGTATTGTCATCAGTATGACATAAGTATACCAAGTTTGCAGTCGATACCACATTGGGAGGTGGGTTAAAATTTAGTTACAAGATTTGAGGATACAACAGACAAGAGTGAGTTAATCAAAAGGTGGTAATTTTTATTTCTTCTGATGAGGCAAATTATCAAAGATGTTGTCTATTGGCAGTCGTGTAACACCTAGGAGCTTTGTAACGTTTCACTCACCGGCGCAGCAGCGATAGTGCCCCCTCACAATCGCGGCGCGTTTAAAAGTGAGCACGCCGGATCAATCGACGGTTCACAATTTAGCTTTATTTGTGCCAAGAGTTATAATGAAGGTGGCGGAAGCAACGACCGAACGATTGCAAATGAGACGGTCAAAATAAATATATATGGAGACGTTTCTGATGTGTGGATGTGCGCATCGGCCTGTTCGGTGTTTTGATGCGTTTGATGGGTGGGGGGGGGAGTTCCACCACCAGCAGCAGTAGCAGTGTTGTCTTCGAGCACGAGGAGGAAGAGGAGGAACGTGAAAGCCAGGACTGTAAAAGCCAGGAGGCGTTGCGGTGTTTGGGCTCGAGCCGCGTGCACTTGAGCCACAAGGGGCTCAAGTTTGAGCGTGCCGATGCGTTGTTGGTGTACGTTCATGTAATGTCTGTTATTTTAATGTATTTGTTTTTGCGTGTGTCATTGTGTTGGGTGGATATCACCGCAAATGTTCTCATCGTTACAGTGAGGGAAAAAAGTATTTGATCCCCTGCTGATTTTGTACGTTTGCCCACTGACAAATAAATGATCAGTCTATAATTTTAATGGTAGGTTTATTTGAACAGTGAGAGACAGAATAACAACAAAATTCATAAAACGCATGTCAAAAATGTTAGAAATTGATTTGCATTTTAATGAGGGAAATAAGTATTTGACCCCTCTGCAAAACATGACTTAGTACTTGGTGGCTAAACCCTTGTTGGCAATCACAGAGGTCGGATGTTTCTTGTAGTTGGGCACCAGGTTTTCACACATCTCAGGAGGGATTTTGTCCCACTCCTCTTTGCAGATCTTCTCCAAGTCATTAAGGTTTCGAGGCTGACGTATGGCAACTCGAACCTTCAGCTCCCTCCACAGATTTTCGATGGGATTAAGGTCTGGAAACTGGCTAGGCCACTCCAGGACCTTAATGTGCTTCTTCTTGAGCCACTCCTTTGTTGCCTTGGCCGTGTGTTTTGGGTCATTGTCATGCTGGATTACCCATCCACGACCCATTTTCAATGCCCTGGCTGAGGGAAGGAGGTTCTTACCCAAGGTTTGACGGTACATTGCCCTGTGCATCGTCCCTTTGATGCGGTGAAGTTGTCCTGTCCCCTTAGCAGAAAAACACCCCCAAAGCATATTGTTTCCACCTTCATGTTTGACGGTGGGGATGGTGTTCTTGGGGTCATAGGCAGCCTTCCTCCTCCTCCAAACACGGCGAGTTGAGTTGATGCCAAAGAGCTCCATTTTGGTCTCATCTGACCACAACACTTTCACCCAGTTGTCCTCTGAATCTATCAGATGTTCATTGGCAAACTTCAGACGGGCATGTATATGTGCTTTCTTGAGCAGGGGGACCTTGCGGGCGCTGCAGGATTTCAGTCCTTCACGGCGTAGTGTGTTACCAATTGTTTTCTTGGTGACTATGGTCCCAGCTGCCTTGAGATCATTGACAAGATCCTCCCGTGTAGTTCTGGGCTGATTCCTCACCGTTCTAATGATCATTGCAACTCCACGAGGTGAGATCTTGCATGGAGCCCCAGGCCGAGGGAGATTGACAGTTCTTTTGTGTTTCTTCCATTTGCAAATAATCGCACCAACTTGTTGTCACCTTCTCACCAAGCTGCTTGGCAATGGTCTTGTAGCCCATTCCAGCATTGTGTAGGTCTACAATCTTATCCCTGACATCCTTGGAGAGCTCTTTGGTCTTGGCCATGGTGGAGAGTTTGGAATATGATTGATTGCTTCTGTGGACAGGTGTCTTTTTACAGGTAACAAGCTGCGATTAGGAGCACTCCCTTTAAGAGTGTGCGCCTAATCTCAGCTCGTTACCTGTATAAAAGACGCCTGGGAGCCAGAAATCTTTCTGATTGAGAGGGGGTCAAATACGTATTTCCCTCATTAAAATGCAAATCAATTTATAACATTTTTGACATGCCTTTTTCTGGATTTTTTGTTGTTATTCTGTCTCTCACTGTTCAAATAAACCTACCATTAAAATTCTAGACTCATCATTTCTTTGTCAGTGGGCAAACGTACAAAATCAGCAGGGGATCAAATACTTTTTTCCCTCATTGTATATTTGTGCATTGTGTTTTTATGTGAATGTTTATATACGTCTGCTTTTTTGTTTGTGCGTGTATGTGCCTTTATATGTGCATTTTTACGTGTGTCATTGTGTATGGATTTGTGTGTGTGTGGGAGCAGTAGTACAGCAGTTAACGGTCTACACTACGAACCCGGCGACCCGAGTTTGATTCCCACTCACGGCCAACACTTGATAATAACCTGAACCGGTCCTGGGCCTCCCCTATGTCGATTCAGCCTCAAATATGTACCTGGCGCGGTATCTGAACATCGCCACTGAGGAGACAAAGGCGGCCGGGCGTGGTGCTGGCCACCCACCCCCTCGTGTGCCTTGCCGGCCTTCATAGGTGCTCGCTAACAGCACTTGCCCCAAAAGTCTGTTGAGGCTACACGGGGGATCTTTGCCTTTGTTGTGCCGGGGTCTGCGTGCACGTTGCGTGCGTCAGCGCATTGAGGTCGCCCGAAGGCGGCGCTCATTTTCAAATGAATGTCGAAATACCCAAATGTCGCAAAGGACCGTGGATAATTATGATAATTTTCACCGGCCGTAGCACAATGCCTCGTCTGTTGAACTGCACGCGCGCCCCCCCCCCCCCCCCAATCTGCCACTCCCTCTATCCCGTTCTAAAGTTCACTTTCAGAAAATAAATTCCGTAATAGGAAGTTGCGTTCTGTTGCCCAACAGCTTCGCACGAGCCCATAATGAGAACGCTGGAACTTTGTGCCGTGGGAGATAGAGGCGGCGGCGGCGATGGTGGTGGTGGTGGCGGTTGTGGTGGAAGAGATCCCTCTGTTTCCCTGCTCTCTACAGATTAAGAAAGGGGGAGAAAGCGCGTTTACCACTCGCGCTGGGCCCTGCTAGGGTCACACTCGGGCATCTTTCCGACTCGGGCACGCGGCGGGGTCGATGGAGAATTCCACAGTCACATTGCGCACCGCAGCTCACCACCATGCCACTGCTGCACCCATATGTAATGGTACAGCTGTAATAAGGGGCCGTCCGTAAATGACGTCACGCACCAAGAGAGGGGTCGGGGGGTCAGACATTTGTGACGAGGGGGGGGGGGGGTGAGAAATGTGACGTCACATCAAAATGCGCAACTTTAAATATAGACAACACGTTCTACTTAATTAAATAGACTTTTTTAAATAAATATTTTATCAACATCAGAGTGCAGCGCCACATTAAATACGCACTACAATGGCAATAGTTTAAAGCGATTTGAAGCAGGTTTTATTTTCAAAATGGAAATATGGTTTTGGGAGGGGGGGCAGAGCTTTGTGACGTCATATTTGAGGGGGGGGGGTCTGACTTAACAGTGACGCCGTGTGACGAGGGGGGGGGGGGGTCCAAAATCGTCCAAAATCGCGTGATGTCATTTATGGACGGCCCTTAATGGTGATATCGGCAGAACTTGTGTGCTCACGGTAATGGTATCAAGTGATACTTGCCGATTTAAAGCTTTCGTGACTGCAAGGATTCATCTTCTTTGGTTCTTTCGGTAAAGTCACGTAGAATGAGAATAAAATAATAAAATAACAATAAAATTCTCACGACGTTTCCACCACAACACAAGCAGCCTTCAGGTGAAAGAACAGAACTGTCGGGACGACAGAGCTTCAATGTTATTATTATTATTTTATTCTCATTCTACGTGACTTTACCGAAAGAACCAAAGAAGATGATACTTGCCGGTATTGCCAGTCCAGGCATCACTTGGTGTTGGTTACAATTGCCTGGGTCTGTCGCTCAACACCATTGACCTTCACCCCCCTCTTATTCCGCAAACAAAAAAAACCTTCCTAACTGCGTGCGAGTGGCAATTGTGTTTAAATAATAATTAGAATAAACATGCAATCTAAATCTTACAATCGATCAAAGGAGATGTGCATATTTTTGTATGTATGTTGAACATCTTTCGCACCATGCGTGTAGCCAACCGTGCTAATTGGAGGTGCGAATCACGACCGGTGAACATTTTGAATGATTCGGGGAGACGGGAAGAGAAGCGTGTGGAGAAGGAAACGTGTACGCCTGCTGTGTATTTGGAGTTTGCGGTGTCTCTCTCCCCGTGGTTGCGGGGGATTTTCCTCCGGGTCCTCCTGTTTTCCCCTCCACATTTAGATACACGCGTATTTGAGCTGCTGTACATTTCAACGTGATAAGCCACTTCGTTGAGCCATCATTGGTGATGGCCAAGGAGGCTTATGAAAAATATCGATACACTATAGCTCAGTGGGCCTTACTTCGTCAAATAAATCTCAATAAATAAAGATAGTAGTATGCACTTTGGACTTGGTTGGAAACATGGCCCAGTGTCCTCATCAGCGCTCCGAATGTCGACACGAGGCGCTGGCGGCACAGGTAGGACAGGCTGCCGACACAGAATCCGAATCTTTATTTACAGTCTGGAGGAGAAATCCGATGAGATACGAAACTCGTTTTCAGAGATGTCCAGTTCGGTAGGGTCAGCGAGTTACAACGGCAAACGATACAAACAACACGATCGGAGAATACAATAATATAAAAAAACATCTTTTTTTTAGAAACACGCTTTAATGAAATGTACCGTACTAGTAATGGAAGAACTCCACGACTCCAGGAAGTGGCCCCGAAGCTTGCCACAACGTAAGGGGACCGTGGGCAATTAGAGCCAACGTGAGTTGAGCGTGGACAATTAGACCCAAGCCGAAACATAACTTACAAAAATGTTTAAAATATATATTTTTTTTATACTAGAATTGCCATCAGTATGACATAATTATACCAAGTTTGGCAGTCGATACCACATTGGGAAGTGGGTAAAAATTGAGTTATAAGATTTGAGGATACAACGACGACTACAACAACAAGAGTGAGTTAAATGAAAGCATGTAATAATGAAAAAAAGGACACGCATGATGACTCGGTGAGACACGAACCGTGGGGGAGTACTCACCAGGGCTACACATTGAGCCCCGTCGTCATCGCGCATCATGGTCCAACCACTGCTGGCCACAACATCACCACGAGCCCGGATAAACGTGCGGCTGTGGGGGGCGCAGCAGCAGCAACGAGCAGAATAA